CTAATTGCAAAAGAGCAGCCATGAGCCGTAACAGCCAGAAAGGCTACGAACTTATGAGTAGTAGAACCCTAGAGTATCACTGTTTGGGCAAAGAGGAAAACGCATATTCCTCAAGCGTCAATATTTGGCACCGGTTCACTGGTGAATCCATTTAAGTGTACAATGCCAAACCAATTTGATCAATGAACAAGATTTTACTTTTTTCCTAACAAGATCCATCAGCTTCCATAAAATAAAAGTAACAGTTAAAATCCCATTTCAGGCAGTCGAAATGTCTAAAAATATCGAAATGTTGGGGGCACTCCCCCACCTCTACCTTTCTGTGAAGCTTAACACAGAACTCCATTTTTACCACGTTTAACAAGTTAATTGTGCACTTATTGACATCTTTTTAGATGAAAATTTTCCCAGAAATTGTGTAATATAGTTATCGCTTCTTACGATTTTGCATTGTGAACACCAACCAATAGATCTTAACATTTACTGCCTATAGGTACAGTCATATAATGATATGATCACATTTGTTAACAGTTTTCTTAATTACGACCAGTTCAATGTACAAATAATCTATCGTAAAACAATTCGGGCAAAATAGAAAAGAAGAAGCAATATAGCTGACATGAGAACATAGGAACTTATGCCGATGGATCGGATTTCTAAAAGCCTAGCTATACTGCATATCATTTCAGCGGTCAACAGAAGTGAAATGCTTGGTGTATATTGCTATGATGATATGGAGAACTTCAACAGTGAAGAAGGCGATATCGTCGCTATTAAGTGACTCCCTTCGGGAATGAGAAAAGAAAGTGAACCGGAAACCCATACGGTGTAAGAGCACAACATTGCACACAGGTGGTTAATCGATAATGTAGGCGATTATGGAAATGATAAGTCCAGTACGAGGTAAAAGAAAAAAGAAAGTAACGTTATGAACAACATACACAAGTAAATTGTCTACAAAGAAAACGATGATAACGATCATAAAGCAAAAATGGCCTCAAAACACTTCGCACCGAACGGGTGGGATGATTCACACATCAAATATCATCGATACTAAATGCGTTAGAAATTCTGCCTTTCTCTAGAGCCAGATGAAAGGCTTTCAACAAAGAATTTGGCATGATTCCAACGCGAATCCCACCATGGCTAACATCAATTGATGCTGCCTGAATGGCTATGCGACGGTTGGTGGCGAATTTTCGACGACACACGGGATATCGGATTGGAGCTCTGCGTCGCCATCACTCTCTGCAGCAGGACTCACCCATTGATTGCATTCTTCTTTTGTCAACGCCATCAATAACCATTCTCGAACAACACCAGTGTCTAAAATATCAGAATATTGAGGCACAGACTCTATAAAAAAACAGCCGAATCATTTGTCCTCCCTCAGACGCCTATGAGTCAGTACAGTCTTGCTCGCCTCGGATGGTGGGACGCGGAACGTAGCCACGCAAGCGACAAGACTGTATCATATCGTTCGTATCAATTTTTTCCACCAGTTGTTGTCGCTTGCCCGCCCCGATGACTAGTGGAGATAAGGGCACGCCATCGTTGTGATGATCACAACGGGGGGGTCGTATTTGACTGCGAGGGGGTCGTATTTGGTCAGAGAACAATTTTTTGGTAGTTGATTTCTCTTGTTTCACGGACGGTATAAAGGGGGGGGGGGGGAAGGTGGTCGTATGGGTAAATCCTGATGACCTCTCCCCCTTGCTCAACAGTAAAATTTCAGGAAAAACCAGAAGGAAATTTCGGAAACTGGTAGGAGTTTACGCAAAATCTGAGAAATTTTCCTGTTTCACATTGCCTATATATACCCCCCCCCACCCCCCTATAGTGGTATTTGAGGATAGAATCAGGCGGGGGTCACATTTTCCAGGAAATGATCACCACGCGATAGCGTGTCCTGGTGGAGAACACGTGTCAGTGAGGTCGTTCGCGCCAAACAGCCTCGCCGACACGCCCCTTTATCCGCAGCAGGAGACTGTACTAGAAGCAGCGCCAGCTTGGCTAGCGAGTATTTATCCCAGAGATTTCGCGTAGAGCAAATTCAAGCGAATTAAGCGTTACAAACATATTCCATAAAAAGTAAACTCACATTTACAGACAGTCAATTGCGGTGTATTGACGTGATCTTTGTGAATCTTCAACCGGCAGTCTAAGAAAGAGACATACAATAGAACCAAATGCAGACGCACATTAATGAAGTAAAAATAGTTAGTGAAGTTGGAACCAAAGTTACTTCTGGCAGCAAAGACATACTTTTGCATTCATAAGCTGGTGGTGGTCGGACGAGATCGGATAGCTTCTTGCTACATATATCACAGTAGGTGCTCATATGGAACGTCAACTCTTGGAAGTCATGGCTCTTCCAGGATTCCTATGATGAAAAGTCAAGGATAAAGTAGCATGAAGACCAGATTGATCAAACAGATGAGGCCACTGAAAGCTCTCTTCTCACTTACATCTTTCTGTGAAGCCGACGTGACGCTCAAATCATTTGTTGAGGCATTTCGACTTGTAGAGCCACTATCACGGTCATCGAACATAATCTGAAAGTAGGAAGTATTCACACCTAATAGAAACTTCAAAAATTGGACCTTCGGAGATTATGGCTCCCAACCCCTAAGGAAGGACTCAAATTCTGGTCCTCGAATCAACAATGCCATGACTCACATGGAATATCCTTCTAATCTGTTCCGCATCAGCAACACGGACATCGGCTGCCGTAACCAACCGAACATGACATAGTTGGCTAGAATAATTCAGGATTCGAAGCGTGAATTGTAAGGCGGTGAGTATAAGTTCCGATTAGGATTAGGAAGTGGGAAAGAAAGGTAAAATACTGAAACGTAATACGAAAAATCATGTGTCAAGAGACTAGATAATGCAAAAAGACTAGATAATGCAGAGACCCTGCGACAGACACGAAACCGACGAAACACGTACGCAACAGCGACATAGCGTGAGTGCGTTCATACTTTGCAGCAGCTTTGAGCGACTAAACTACAGGTATTGATCCAGCGTTTTGAGCGCCGCTGGCAGATGCCTATTACGCTGGCGATACCTATATACTTTCTTAGTCACTCACTATGTTGACAAACGCTCAGAAAGCTGCCGCAAAGTATGAACGCTCTCTCAGAGTGAGATTGCAGTAGCGCGTCTTCCTCCTCTTATGCGCTTTGCGATAAAGACTGACGTGAGAGGATATGTCAGTTTTCGGCAACTCTCGCCATCCTGAGAAATCGCTGGGTAAAGCAGGGGAACAGGAAAGAAATAGTGTTGTATGAAGTCAAGACATATAGGACAAATAAGGAAACACTAAAATAGACACTTCCATGGAGAGTAACAAAGCTTACCGGGTATCTATCGACATGACAGCAGCTGAATGTGGCTTTTCGTCAGGGAACAATTGGAAGGCAACGGAGTTCAGAACTGCGTAGTAGTTTACCCACTGAAAATTCTCTCATTGATGATATCTTGTATCTCATCCCTCAAGCCGTGAAATTACCTTTATTTTCCGACTTCCAGCGCTTCTCTTTTCTGGCTTCATTGACACCCAGCCAGAGTGTGGAAGATCACGTATCGCATGGGGTATACTGTCGCGTGAATCGACCGATCTGAAATAACAACATGACTTTCAACTTCTTGACATGATCAGGTCGGCTTACCGTGTCTCATCGATGGTGCCATCCCGTCGTCGCTTCATCTCATTAAGTTCTTCTTTTAGCTCTTTCACTTCCATTCGTAACGCATCATTATCCCTTTGCTCCTCTTCCAACTCTCTGGTCATGTCAGTCATCATTCGCACCTTGTCACTGTAGACCTCGTCAAGTTGGATTCCAAGACGGCGGATTTCTTGTTGGTGATGAATCTGGAAATGAGCGCAGGCATAAAAATTCTTCCGCCAAGTACCAGTTGTAGGTGAGTTAACAATGAAACCGCTGCTTCTGGAAAAGCGAAAGAAGGCCGCAGTTTAATGAGTAAGGCTGCATTCATACTTTTCGTGGTCGCCTTGGGCAAGACGCTCAAGAGGTTGGATCAATACTTACACTTTACGTTTCGCGCAAAACGCTAGAAACGCCGACGAAAAGCATGAACGCAGCCTAACAGAGAGGGATTTCTGAAGCTAACAATATCGACAAACCACCAATCACTTACGATTTCGCGATCTTTCTTCAACAGATCAGCCTTTGTTACATGCTTTCCTCCCTTCTTGTCAACTCGTTTTGCCATCTCTTCCTCAAGCTTTACGATAACAGCTCTCTTGTGCGCCTTTTCAAGATCAAGCTTCCTAGAAAATCAAGTGATAGAAACAGTTTTCTTTTATCCTGATGCGCGGCGATACCTCTTCAAGTCGGCAATCACCGCTTCGGCCTCTTCAATTTCCGCTGCCTTTTCGTTGAGATGAGTCATCGAACGTGACAGCTCCAACTCGGATTCTCTTTCACTCAAAATGGCTATCTGCATGTCCTTGGCTTGAATCTCCTTGAAATCGCAAACTATCAGCTTTCAAGAAAAGAAATCGATATTTGGTAGATGAACTTATCGAAAAGAAGCGGAGACTTTGGAAAAAAAGCTGTCAGTAGGGGAAAAAGTAAGAATAATCTCAAAAAACTGATACCTTCTCATGTCGAGCGACAAGCTGTTAACCTCCTCTTTCAGCATGGTCTTCTCCTTGTCAAACTCGTTCACATTAGTCTCAGCTATCTGCCTTGCCAAACGTTCATTTTCAACAAGACTCTTGTACTGATCGGCGACTTTCCTAAAAAAACTATTCTCTGCACAGACGTTATCTGAGGATTGAACCACCTTTACGAGGAACTATTAGTGAAAAGAAAGTAATGGTAAAGAGCTCACTCCAGCTCGATAACAGAATTCCTGAGCAACTTCCCACGATCCTCTGCATGTTCATGAGCCATCTTGATCTCACTTTGGTACAAACTCTGAAAATCCGGAGGGAAAATTTAGGAAGAACTGCACAATATTGAAAAAATTTTATGCATTCATTCCCGACATTTGAGCACATACCTTTACTGCTCCATTCCTAGAAATTAAGGCCACATTTTGACTGACATTTTCTCCTAGTAGAAAATTTGGCTGATATCTCAGGTCCCAGGGTATTCAACCCCGTGAATAGGAGTGTCGCAACCGTTCAAAGTGGAACACCAACGCCCGTGCCACGGACTACGGTAATAAAGGTCAATTCCGCCGCATGTATTAGGCGTTCTCGCGTCAAGCAAATGTGAAGTTCGTGTTGGATGGCCAAACAGCTGGAACAAGTTATGAGCACATTTCGTTCTTTTTGGAGCTCTGGCGCGAGCATCTGTGGAACGGAAGTAGAGCAGTTCCGAGCCAAGGAATGTGATATTCATTTCCAGGGGTAGCGCTTTGAGAAGACGACCTAGGCATTTCCGCACTCGCGGAAGATTTCCGATCAAACCCTGGCCTGAATTTCAAACAGTACAGTAAAGCGTAGGTCGTGCGACGTACTGGACGAATGCTCGCTAACTGAAGACTCACAATGCATTGTTGATCCCTACTTTGCTCTTCCTGAGAGTTACTCAATCGATATTCCAAACTACAGTTCTCCTGTTTCAGCACTTCCAATCGTACTTCATAATCTTGGAGTTCGCGCTTCAATTTCATGTTTTCCTGAATACATAACATTTAACAAAATAAACAAAACAATATTTGTAGCGCACATACTTCGGCAAGGTATCGCTCATTCGACGTAATTCCGGCAAGTTTCTTTGCCACATTCGTCAACTCAGCTTGGATGTCGGACTTCTTTTTCGTCTCTTGGTAAAGTTCACGGCGAAGTTGATCAACCTAGAAACTGGTGCAAATAGAGCCGAAAACATACTTTTCAGCAATTTCAGCTGAGTAGTGATTGAAGGGAAGAAACCGATTTGGAAACAAGTACAACTCTACCTGCTTCATTGTTTGTTCCAACCGCTTTTCCATTTCCATTTCGGACTGCTTGGCAAGCGAAAGAGATTCCTGAATACGGAAACGTTCCTGCCAACTGCGCAAATTACTGCTCATCAAAATCGCATTATAGCAAGCAATAGATAGACTCAAAATTTATTCCTTACCTGGAAAAAGCCATTCTCCTTTCTATCCTCGAGTGCCTTTTTCAATTTTCTCGTGAGCTCATCCTCTTTAGAACTCTGATCAGAAATCTTCATTCGTAACGCCTCGATCTCTCGTTTCTGATCCTGCAAGGCATAATGTCAACGCAGTTTTTCAATCTGAAAATTGACGCTGAACTCACCCCAATAGTCATGGCCTGCCTCCGACTCGCTTCCTTCTCTTCTGCAAGCTTATTGAGCACCTCACGCACTTCGAGCTTAGCAGCTGCCTCGTCATCACGAGCCTGTATAGAATATCAGAATTATGTAAGCCCAATCTGTCGCTCTCCACTAATAATACGCAGCAAAGAGTTTACAGGAAGAGTAACCTTGGCCAATTTTTCCTCAAGACTGCGGACAACCTCGCGCTGTACTCGCAATTCCTGCTCCATCCGACGATCGTTAGCTGATTCCGACAGTTGCCGCAGACGTTCTTGCATTTGCATCATCTCATTTTCAGTGATTCGCAGGTTATCGGTACACCTGCACAATTATGATTTCGGTCAAATGATCGAGAACTGAGAATGATGATTTGTTAACATACCGTGCAACTTCGCTCTCCAATTTACGAATGGTTTCCTCTTTCTTACCCGTCTCCTCAAGCTGAGATCGCAACTTCATTTCGGACTCAACTAGGGCAGCTTGTGCAACACTAAGCTGACGATTCACCTCCTGCAAGGACTCTACTCACCATCAGTAATGAATCATTATTCCCATTCGAAAGCACAATATACATTACAGTACGACCAGAGCACGTCCTGCCTTTACGAAGAAATTTGCAAAAATGACCCACTCAGATATACCACTCTGGAGTAAAGCTCGCCCTTCACCATCTCCCGTCCTTGAATCTTCCCAAATTTTCCCAATCCCAATCTGCTCTTCTACCCATTCTCGTGAGGTTTTATAAATATTTCGGATTCTTCCCCCAGAAGGTAGTCGAACTCACGGAGGGATATAGCGCCAACGAAACGGAAAAACTAGAAAACTCAAAAATGAATACGATCTCCTTGGTAGGGATCTCAGTGTACGACGTGCCCTGATTACGACATAGAAGCTTATGGTCATACAAACCTCGAATTCGCAATCCGGTACTCCATTTGAAACTACCGGAGCTGTTTCTTTTGACACCACGGTGCTAACAGATGGAGATGAACTACAAGTCGACGCTTCTTGGATTTTCAGGATGGGACTGGAACGGACCGCTACTTGACTAACAAACTTCGATATGATCCTACATAAATAAAAAACACATTGGAAACTTCAAGAAAAGCACATTAACACGAGAGACGCTATAGTTTCACGCACAAGAGCATCCTCCGGCGATCAGGTACGTCACAAACATGATGCTGTATGGATATATGAGTACACATATGCAGTGGTACGTTCGGTAGCGGTGATTGGCAAGCCTTTGGGAAACTCGCCCAAAATTGTTTACTAACACAGTGAGAACGGAGGCTCTTTCTTCGCAGGATTTTGACCGTTTCACTCCGTTCTTTCGCCATTTCCCCACTATACAGCGCCCTACTAGCATTTTAGGCCGAGCACCAAATCATCGTGCCAACTGCCTTTGATAGGGCCTGTAGGGGTACCCTCTTTGGAAAAGGCACCAAGCAACGCCTGCTGAGGGGTACTGAGTCTGTCCCGCTAGGCGTACTAATCCTAGAAAGGCAGTTCAGTACCCCTGAGCGTCTTTCGGGGATTATTCGCGCCACTAGCTTTAATGGAAATCAGTGTGGAAGTGGGTAAATTTTTCGAGGTGTTTGTCCGAAGAAACGAAACAAGCAGAAACTGAGCAGCGCTCGCCTTCAAATGCTCCACTTCATAGATATTTTGAGGTCAATATGGATGACATTTTGTAATGCAACGTCGATTGATTTGAATAAGCGCTTTGAGGAAAACTCCAGAAAACCGTATATTATGAGTTTGGCAGCATAAGAATATACTTGCTTGAGGCTGCGTTCATACTGTACGGCAGCGTCGATAGAATTACTTGCTCTGACCGCTTACCTTAACTTCCCATAGGCCTTTGCGCCAAATTGAAAGAGGAGTCCCTGTCCTACGGGGCTAATTACTTTTTCGTTTACGTAGTACCTGAAGAGAAATATATCAAAGTGGTTCTGAAATATAGAGTAGTGCTCAAAAGCATCCGGCCAGACGCTTTTTCGCCCATAACTTTTTCCCCAACCAGCCAATTCATTTTAAATTTGAGTGTCACAACTAGCATTGTCACCGATGAATGAAAGTAGACGCCTTGAAACATCATGCAATTTCACGTTCAGTTTTTTAAGCAACGACTAACTTCAGTGTTCACAAGGTCATCATTCTGTTCACATTTTTCGGTTTTTCACCCAAGAAATTTCCGTCGGATGGGTGGGCAAACAGGAAAAACCACGCGAAAAGTCAACAACCGAGTAAATTTTTTTCCAACGCGACGGAATCCTCTGAAAGCCTTATACGACCCCCCTCCCTCTCCAAACAACACCAAATAGGACCCCCGGCGCTGTTCGGCGACGGGGGGAGGGCATTCTGCACTATGGCTACTTCCAGGTCAGGCTTCAACATTGCGCTTTGAGTTTGAGCACCAGCCGTAAAGCACAACTCCCTACGTGTTTCACACAACGAAGAGAGCAAAGAGTCAAAGGCAGATGTCGCCACCTTCACTGACAATCGAGCCGTGGGACAAGATCCAACCCAGTAAAGGGAGAAGGCTCACAGTTCTTGAGTCGAATGTTGTAGAGTGTGTTAGCCATTTTGCCGCAGTCTGAACACTCCTGCGTTGATGAAGAGAACGTTTTTCCAATAGTTCGATGTTCATTAAAGGTGGCGGAGAGCGACCTCTGCTTTGACCCTTTGATTTTCTGAGCCAAACAGCGGGTTCTCGGTCGCACACCTACCATTTAACCCGAACACTCTGAGTGTTCTTCCGATAGTCCATTTATTATTATAAGTCCCAAGCTAAAATTACTAAAATTGGCTGGGAAGTCGGCACAAGTGGACCCGGAATCAGCCTACAAGCGGTAGTGGATGCTCTTATTCTGGCCAACAGATGTCAAATATGCTCCATTGATCTCCCAAAAACTGACTGCAGTTTTATTATGGTGACCGCGATGGCACTATGGCGTCTAGAAACTTTCACAATACTTGGAAAAGGCAATCTGTATACCGACATTGTTCATCATCACGGCAACTTTTTTGGGTTTAAGGTTCCATTCTTCACTGCAGTCACTGCAAGGAGCAAAAGGCATTTTGGCACTCGAAAATATTGTCGTGGAAACTCCACAAAACTCGAAAAATGTGAACAGTGTGAAGGCCTTGTGGAACTGAAGTTAGTCGTTAAGCAAAAAAATCTGAAAGTAAAATTGCATGATGTTCTAAAGCGTCTACTTTTATTCATTGGTGACAATGCTAAAAGTGACACTAAAATCTGAAATGAATTGGTTGGGTAAGAAAAAAAAGTTGTGGGCGAAAAAGCGTCTGGCCGAATACTTTTGAGCGCTACTGCATGAAAAAAAGAACACGAGACGCTTTTGCGTTCGTTTTCCATATACACAAGTGAGAAGAACGACAACATCTTTTAATTGTTGAGAATGGTTGTATCAGAAATGAAAAAAGGATCATCATCAGAAACCCAAAAGCATAATCCGACATCTGCACAACACCACCGCGAGTGTTCGAAGACAGCCTTCGCACTCGAGTAATTCCTGGTCGTCCTTCCTTGTGCAAATAATCTAGCCCTCAAGCTAAGAGACTGATTCACAGCGAACGAGGAGGCTGTTACCGCCGCCGCACGAACGTCTTAAGTTAACACCCGCTCAGACGGACCGCCCACTTATCAGATGCCCCTCCACATTTGACGCAGGACCGCTCAGCTGTTCCTTGTTCAGGGCACGCCATTGCGTTGTGATCATTTCCTGAAAAATACGACCCCCCCTAATTCCATCTTCAAGTACGACCCCCTCCCCATGTTACCTCTTCCCTAGATTTTTCCAACCTCCTACCACTTTGTCTATTTTTTCCCAAAAAATTTCTGGTTTTTTTACAAAATTTTGCTGTCGAGCGGGGGGGAGGTCGCAGTACCTACGTACGTCCCAAGCACGTCCAGCACTCTGGCGCTGGTGTAGCATACTGACAATACGTACGAGGAAGGGGCGATGATAGGAGCTACGATCACCGCCCACAAGGGCACCATGAATTTATAAACAAACAAAGGACTCACGACGTGACGATTAATAAACAGATGAAAGTACATTCCCGGACTTTTCTGATCGTAGGAGCACATTTGCTTGCAATTGGGAAGCCCTATCTAGAAGTTACACCTTCCAAACACCTGCGTGAAAGCCCCATGCATGGCGCATTGCAGAGGTGATGCCAATTGGCGCCCAATGGCCTATTTCCTGATACCCTTTGCGAAAACATGTGTTTTAGAAGCATACCAAAGTCTTCAAGCCAACTGGAGGTTTCATGGCCTCGGAGGGGCTGATTTTTCGTGTCGTGGGGGGTGGTCACGAAATGATCACAACGGGGAATTTTTTCGAATAGCAGGCCTAGGAAGAAAATTAAAGCCTTGCTGGAAAGTAGAAATCTTCAAGCTTCCGGCACAATTCTTTTTTACGAAAGGCCGTGTATGAAGCTTGCCATGGACGTCCAAAGCGTAGCGACTCGCGGTTCGCAAAAATGATCACAGACGGATCACAACGATGATCACAACGGGGAAAATCTCTGGAATCGGAACGTTTTTGAAATCGCTCAATTCAGGTGACAAGAGCCAACCTAGCTCTACTCATTCCCACTTACCCCTCTCCGATAGCTTCACTTTCAACGAAGTTATGGGTGTTCAAATGAGGGGTACTTTTCACGTGTTTGGCTTGAAATTGGCTCCAGGCCGTAAAATAGCGCGCACCAATGAGCTTGTATGAGCGCGCTGACCGCGAACAGCCAAAATTCAAAAGTAATCCATAGTTCCGGTTCCCAGCTGGCCTGGTGAGTTTTTTCTTATCCATTTGATTGTGAATTATTTTGATTGTTTGTTTTTGTTGAGTTTGATTTTGTTTTGTTGAGTTTGATTTTGTTGTGAGGAAATTGCTCAGGATTCAATTTCTACGGTTTCATAGGTAGCTTTTGCAATGGATTCTTTTCTAGATTTTGCGGATTAGTGGATTGGGATTTATCTAGACCAGATGAGGAGGGTTGGTGGGCGAAGTGTCTTGAAGTTTTTTGTGAGGAAGGAGGAAAAGTTTCAGCAATATTTTTTTAGTTCTTGGCCTAGGAAT